GTGCGGCGTTAAACAACGAACCAACCGTTTAAAGCGAGTGATAAGCTTAAAACGTCCATTCCCGGTCGCTTTGCTGAGTTCGAATCAGTACTGAAAGTGTTGCCCTGGATTTTAAAACACCACACCTTTATTTAATTGTTTTTACATTGTACACGTACTTACATCTCTGTCGTATAGAGTCGATAAAGCCATCTGTTTGCATTTCAGTACGACGGGTATGACACGTGATGGGGTACGCGAAATCTGAAGGTCTTATGGAAATGTGAATTTTTACACGGAAACACAACTATCTAATAGGTATTTAACGGGAACAATGTTCTGGATATTGTCAGGGGAAAAAAGAAATGAAATCAGATGCAAGAGGAAATAATGAAAAAATGAACGTTCAAAATACACATATATCATTGTCACATTTCGGCGAAAAACGCCTGCTCCCATATGCCCGTGTACTGCTGATGTCGACGTTTCTTCCATTACATTTCACTGAAGTGAGCGGTAGTATGCAAAACTGCTTGTTAGATGTGAATGCTGCATAACTTAAGGACCTGTCGTGGGAAATAATACAAAAGCTGATAAATATAGAGAGTAGCAATATTTCACGGATGCGATGTTACCTCCGACTGTCAATACCACGAACTTTCCTGACGTAGGAAATGACTTGTTTTCCGTTATCTTAGATCGTGTCAGTTCGTTTTCCACTTGTGAACAAACCAAATGATGCTGTTCTAAACTAACAATCGCTACGGAACATGTGCCAGTAACAGTTATTTGCAACGACCGTTCTTTAAAAGAGGTGCATCATGGAACGCGCGAGCTTGGCTCTGTTCCTCACGTGTTACCAGCTGTCGCAGCTCACTCAGTCGAAAACCCTAAGCAGAAACCAGACCGGAAGCGAGAAGTTGGACCGTCGCTTACAACATTTTAAAATATCGTCCATTCTGTTCTGTTTCAATTCTCAATGGAATCAAAACGAATGTTTACCATAGAACACCTCAAAGTGTCTATCCCAGGTTGCATATTTATAAATGGAGAGAAACATTTCCAAAAATAATACCATATCTTGTGTAAAATCAAAACAACACCGGAGAATATTCAGACTCGATTATCTACCGAAATAGGTTCCACTGGATGTACCAGGCGACGGCCATGACGTCCTGAAGGACCATTTGTCCCAAGCTAATGATTGAGCAGCCGGGGCTGCGGTGCAGTGGGAGCAGTTTATATGAATTCTCCACGACACCATTCCAGAAGAGAGTGTTTGGAAGTCAGCAATTATCTGTCTCCTGGCGTATACCATAAAGTTCTTAAGTGGGAGTATTTGCTTTGAAAAACTGAATGGTTGCTGAGACGTATTGTTAGAAGGACCGCCTTGTGGCCAACATGCCTTTTATTTCAGTCTGTGTTAAGTGATGAGTAACGATGTTATAAGTATATAGCGCGTTATAAATCAGAGTTAGATGTGAAACTATTTCACATTTAAACAGGCTTCCAGGTTCCTGGCGTTCTACATATTGAGCAATTTCACACAGAGTACTGTATGTTTGTATTTGAAATGAAGTTTTAGGTGAGCGAGGACGTCTATATATTTAGTGTGATACTTCTACAAAATGGCACATGCTAACACATGTTAGGAATAGGTGAAATACAGATAATTAACAAATTGTGGTGGTTTTAATTTGTACGGTTCACACTCCAGCAAACCACCACAATGTAAACTTCTTATAATTTCGTAGTTTGAAGTTGATGGTTTGTCAGTTTGACTGTGACGCACATCTTAGGCCATTTACCTTACTGGTTATATTGGAATGTAATAACCCAATAGCGGGTATATTATTCACGCTTACTCAAAACATAGTGCATGTAGTCCCAATTCCATAAAAAATACACAACTCGTTATGCATCAATGAAATTGATAATTCACCTGACGTCCTTTAAACTTCAAAATAATAAATAACTGGATAATATTGGTAGAAGAGAATATTGTTAGAAATTTGCGTACAATCCGTCATTATGTCATTGGAGAAAAAATTCTTGTTACGTTTAAATGCCCTGTTTATTAATATACTCATGCCAATAATTGTTGTCACCCCCTCCCCACCCTAAACCCCCACACACACACCCCACACCCACCCACACACCCTCTCCAATAAAAATAATTGAAGGGGGTGACAACCATTATTGGCATGAGTATACATTGAGATAGAAGTAGGTTCCATACATTCAGTTTCACACAAAATACACGCTAATGTATACATTCCATTCTGAAGATTCAAAGACTCTAATTAAGTGTTGTTTCAAAATATGATAAGGACGCTTTATCTATACCTTGTATATATATTTGTGCTGTAACTATCTATCGAACTATCGATGGATTGCAATTGTTGAGTCTCCGATAGCAATTAATCGATGGAAGAAACTAAAAACTATCGATGCAGCGATAGTATGTGTGTCTTTCGATAGTTTAGTAATTGCCTTCCGTTGATAAATGCGCAGCGCAAAATACAGGGAGTACCAGATTCGTTCACTTTGATTTAGAATTATCCGCCCCTGTTACCTCAGTCTCTAAAAACAAACTTGATCTGGGTTTCAAGTTTCTTCTCAGTTATTAAAAGATACTGTAACTACTTCAGCTTGTTTTGTTTTTGTTTTTTCATATAAACTATACATTCTTTGGGAAATGACTTCAAATGAGACGATTTAGGGAGAGAAAAAACTATTGCAATAGTTGGTCGCAATAGACTATCGTTATCGCAATAGTATCTTGCAATAGACTATCGCTATCGCAATAGTTGTTTCCCCCTCAATAGTCACCCCTAATCAGCATATATATATTGGATTTCTATGGCGCCAAATATCCAAAGCAAAGCTGTACAACGGCGCATCACTACCTCATTATCCTTCATTTGTACCACCATGTTGTTTCTAACCACCATGTTGTATGTAGCTGTCGTTTGTTATTAATTGTACTTGTGGCCTTTATATTGAATATACTTCTTTATGTCCGCGGTGTTTTGGCAACATGTTCAGAATGTTTTTGAATTGTAAGTCACAATCAAAACAATTTTCAAAAGTATTACGCAGTCTTCCTAAAATGAAAGTCACAAATTACAGGTGGGTACTTTCTTTTACATGTTGTTTCTTATTAGGAAGGGTTATATTGTTGCTTGTGACAGTACAACACAGTCCCTTTTGGTCAAACTATGAGGGGGCAGCTGGGAAGCCTTGTCGTTAATGATAAGTTCTAATTCTGATTCTTGAATATTGCTGAAAGGGTACTGCGACTCTTACATTAACCGCTGTTACGTAATGGTTTAGTATTTCAATAAAACAAAAATAATAGGTAAAACAAGTTCTGGTGCATGATTTATATACACTCCATGTCGTCATACACATTCAAACTGCTTGAAAGTGAGTTTTCTTAAATTGTAAAGGGTATAAAAGTTCAAGCCAACAAAAGGTAGATTCAATTAGGTGTCACGGTAGTTTCTTTTACTGTTAGATGCATGCAACTATTTCAGATGTATCGACCGTTTCCATGTGAATACCGGCTGTGTGTCAGCTGGAAACGTTTCGTTTACAATAGTGTTAATTGGATCTACAAAATGTCACAATGCCCTTAGAAATTGGCATTTCCCTTTACTTTTACTGACATTTGGCTCAAGCTTAATCATCGATTTCATTCAAATCTCTGTACATCGAGGTAACAGAAAATTATGTTCGCATATGAGCATTTGAGGCCGTTACTGTTCCTTTCACTTACAACGATGGATCGATCTATCAGTTTGTCCATGAACTAATGATTCCAGCATATCGATAACACGTTAATATATCAACGGTTAACAGAGAAGTAAATCAGTAGACGTAAAAATGATTGATAAAATAATGAAAGACATATATATATAGGTGGCATATTTAGAACTGATATGTACACACTAGCTAGGAAGTATACAATATCATACAAGGCGCATTCCAGAAGGAAGTGGGCTTTCTTTGATATACACAACCTCATCAGATCTCGTTTCTCCATGTGTGACTATTCATATATCTAAAGTGTGATAGTTAAACTTAACGTTGTATGCAGAAGGTGCCGATCCTAAGTAAACGCAAAATGATGACTAGGCAAGAAGCAGCAGTAGCAGTGTTATATACTCAACGTCTTTATCTGTCATAATCACATAACATATGAGTGGCACCGATAAAAAGGGTACAACAAGAAGTATAATAGAATACTTTGGACTGACCTTCAAGGAAGGTGTTGTTCAGCCTCATGTATCTAATTTATACAAAAATGGTCGGATGGGTGGATGATTGACCTTTCATTTGATTACCAGATGTAAGCTCTGCTTCTGACACACTTCATGTATATTACACTTTCTGTTAGAACAAATGAAACAAATACTTTCCTATGTCTATGAAGGTAACAAACTGATATTGTTTTGTAACATACCCAACAGATTCGTTTCAGTCAAAATGTTCCCCTGCCTACACACAAAATAGGCAACTCAGTTGTGACCACAAAATGTTCATGGCGAAACTTTTCTACTAAATCTAAGTGCACGAAGTGACCTTTCTACTCAAATGTAGCACTTAGCATTGCGTCCTCTGCACTTTTATGGTTGGAGTCTTCACGCGACAATAAGGACTGTGGTTAATGGCCGAACGTGCCGTAAGATGAGACATCGCGTGCCAGAAGGTTAGTTCTCTTTGATCGATTGAGGGCGCCACTTAATCGTGAGGAAACAGTAGATTGATAGGTGTTGAGATGGCATGAAGCATAACATGATGGCAAATGGGATTATACCAAATCCAATTGTGCCCAGTGAACAGAACAACGGTGTCTTGCTACAATAAGTGGCTTTCCCTTGGGTTACCTCCAGAGATTTAGCGCGACAAAGTCTAACTACATGCAGTAATGGGTTTTTCATATACACGTAAATAGACGCTACAAAACCATTTTCCATAATCACGGTATTTCCATACCTTATGGTGATATGGTTGGCAAGTGTTTGCTGTTTGACACAGCTCTCAAAACTATTCGAGCTTGATGACGGCGGTCTGTCCGTAATTGAATCTTGACTAGACAATTCCAATACGTGCATCGATCTACGCCGGTGCGATACGATGACATACAATCAACCGAGTCACATAGCGAGTCTCTCGAAACTCAAATCACATTCTAAATCAAAACGCCCCACAGAGCTGTATTCGTATGGCTAAGCTTAAGCCTCAGTCTATACTTACATTGTCGATACATCTGGGTGGATGAGTCCGTTGGGTTTACTCACGCTTCTGAAGTGTGTGACAGTACTTTAGAACAACCACATGACGCAGCTATGCAGATAAGACATGTGCGCCCTTCATGTAGGTGTTCGTTCGAATAAATATTATAATCCTTTAACACAAGTGCATAAAGTTATTATAAATCAATTTATCTGAAATTGCTGAAGATGACACATGTCATCGTATCGAAAATGCTTAGATCGATGCTCATGCTGCTGATCACTGGATTGTCTGGTACAGACTCGTTTATTTACAGACCCACAGTTTTATATACTGGAATTGTGCTAAGTGCGCGGCGTTAAACAGCAAACAAACCAGAGACTGCTATCAACGTTCAACGTATGACACAATGTCAACAAAGACACCGAACCTGACAAATGATCCTTTCAATCGCCTCTTACGACCAACATAAGTGGCATTTAGTTTGTATTATAGCCATTGTATGTGTGTTCGTGCTTGCGGAGGGGGAAGGGGGTGTTTGTGTTAGCGGGCGTGCTTGATGGATATAGGGTGGCTACGTGATAGGTATTTATGTGTTCCTTTGGTTTCTGGTGTCCCCCGCCTTGATATTGCTGGAATGTTCCTAAAAGCGGCGTAAAACCAAACTCAGTCAGTCAGTCAGTCCTTTGGTATTCATTAAAGGTACAGGACAGTTCATGTTCACTTTGTTGTGAAATGAAACATTCCGTTAAAGTGAGCCTACACATCCAAGCGTCTGTCGATATACATTCATTGTTATTCTTTATAAACCGGTATGGATTATCAGTTTCCCATGTAGCGTCTGGGATTAATGGGGTGCACACCGTGATCGGCGTGAATTAACATCAAACATGCTACTAAGAGAGACAAATGAAGGCTATCCCTGTTTTGGGTATGAAGGAGAACACTGACCCACACGTTCCAGTTACCCTTTGTCAGCAAGTCGACTTAAACTGATCAAAAACCATTGTATCCTTCTTAATGAGTTTTAGAAAGGTTTAGATGTCAATCCGATTGTATGAGTTATCAAACAAATGAATAGACAGTGTCCACTGGTGGTAGAAAATGCAATAATAATACTGATGTGTCTGGTCTGGGACGTGCATTAGACACCACAGAACATTAAACCCGAACTTTATGATGAAGCTCATACAACGAATGGTTGTACAAACCTACATAACAACACATATATAAGTCCGAACGTGGACATTTATTGCAATTGCGAGAAAGTTCCAGGTTTAAGAGGACACGAAGTCCATAAGTAGCCCTACTGTTCCGCCTTACGGTAATGAAGCTTCACGTATTTTATGTGCAGAAAAGTGCGATCGGATTCATAAAATCGAACATGCTAATGAGAACATGTGTTCATTAAGTAGACCTAATTCTCTGATTGTAGTTATCAGTTATAAAACAACACATAAAAGGTTTAAAAGAAACCGAAGATGTACCTCTCAGTGCCTTTAATAAGAATAAGTGATCTGCAAGTGATAAAATCTTGAATGAGGACAGATACTGCCATTACACTAAGGTGTTTTATGTCCACATGCTACACTGTGCAACAAAATCACAGCTTTTCCTATGTATTCCTATTCATGGATTGAAGTTCTTTCAATCATTATATTCCAGCGACATCGAAATATATTTTCATAAATTTGATTCCAGAACGTTCAGACTTGACTACAGGACTATGTTACAGCGTCAGCTTACTAACCTTCAGGCTACATTGCAGCTCAATGCAATGTTTCTAAAAACATCAATGGAAGTTTCTTTTCATGTATGTTCAAATTGTATGTAAAGTAGTGCTTACACATAATACTCCAGGGCAAATATTTACTTTACATGCCGGTTGAGTGATCGGTATTTATTTAATAATTGTCACATATCACATTCTTTTCACTGGTGACCCACCGTAACAAAATAACAGTACACCAATGAAACTGCCTCAACTGTGTCACAGTGTGTTTATCTGTAACATCTGTGATAAAATTGACAAAAAACTCTCCACTCAATATTGCAACAGTCATAGTTCCCTTTATGTTGCGCAAATACAAAAACATCTCCAACGTCTTGGGGTCTATATTTCATAACCTTTCAGTTACACCCTGGTATGCTCTTTGTGAAACGATTTTAAAGAACAAGATGGGTTTCTGGTCTGAAAGACCTGAGTAAAACTTGGTAGAGGTTTTATTGTGAACATGTAGAGAACACCTGGTATCATCACTGTATGTAATTGACAGAGATCCATAAACACTTACTCGTGATCAATATATATTTGGAATCGTACAATCATGTGTGCTTTTAGCAGAAATTTCTGATGAATGTGAAACGTGTTTTGTCGCTTCCGTTTACATGGATTTATCACTGTGGTGTCCATAGAATTACATACACAGCGAGCTACGGGGAACTGCGTAACTACCTATTGTCTGCCTCGAGGTTAAGAATGGTGTTAATCGCAAGCCTCTGGATATGACAACATTCACTCACAACGCACAAATAATTCTGCGTAATTTCTCAGTTATTCTACATATATCTGATTGACATTTTGAGAGAGAAAATGATTCCGATACAGGTACAGACTGACACGTTTGCCGAAGGCGTTACGTAATCAATTCGCCACCTCGTGAAAAACGGATGACGTCACTTGACAACAATGCTGTGAGCTAGATTACACCTCACTTCTGCATGTACCTTCACTGCATATACAAGTACCTTCATTTTGGGAAGTTATTACACATTGCCTAGTCTTAATTAATGACCACTAATATAATATATATACACGGAAATGATCTAAAATGACAAAATGCAAACGATGGTAAAATATAATGGATGATAATTCGACTGACCCTGGTACGTGGATAAGTGCATTCTCGATTAATTCCACCCATCCACTCAGTCACTTGCAATAGAAGCGAAAAAATACCTTCCAATATCCACAAGAAATTCCTGGATGAAGCATAGTCGATTGTACAATTCGGATTGAGTAATGAGTATGTGTTTGTGTGATTGTTCGTTCACTTGTTTGTATGTTCTACGGAACATTCAGGAACAATTACAGCTTTATGACCGCGATGTGTAAACAATCGAGTCTGAACCAGACAATCCTTTTACGGTAAGATACGGTGACAGAGCACGTGTTTATGAATCACTATCAAATAATGATGATACCAGATGTTCGTGAAAAGGTGAGCGTATCCTTCACACAAAAATCGGGAAGATATGATACCAGTTCAAATAGGGAATGATTTAATAAGCATGCACGCCAAACATCCAAATGTAGGCAGTCACTCATACATATAATTTCCAGAAACCCAAGTCTGTCAGTTGTTCTTTATTACGTTCTTTAATCACCTCGGTATCTCAAAGGGTAAAACTGTTTGCAACAAAGTTCGATCCTCACTTGATTTTACACCCCTTAGGATATATTTCAAAACTTGCAAACGTTCCCGAACAATAGTTATTGAAATTGAAGCTCAACACTGATCTCATGACTAATGGTTTGAACTAACCCTGTAGCCATCAATTTGAGATCATGTTCAATTTGGGAAGATGTCAATTGGCACATTTCATCTTAAATGCTAAAGACCTTGCCTCAAGGGTGAGATAAAATGGCATTGCTTTTTTTAGCTTGGTGGTTTTGGAAACGTGCATCCTAAGTGGAAAGGAATTATGTTACTTAACAGGACTGAAGCAGTGACTTAAGCTGGTCTTCAACAGCTATCGAGATTCGCGTTGTGGCAAAAATTGGCATCCTTGAATTGTTTTTCGTTCACCTCGTGATTTTTATACATCAAACTGTCTTCCGCTTTTATCTCAAACATATTTGAACCGTAATTGAAAACAATAAGTCAAGCTGTTCGTCGCTCGTACTTTCAACAACATCAGTAGAGCGGAAAGGAGACTCAGGTTATCATCCCTGTTAGTTTCTAAATGGTTCTTTTGTCTAAGACCATCAACGGGCTCAAGTATGTCGTCTGTAGGCACTTAAACGAGATAGGAATACATTTTACCATATGGGGTTTCGCTTTTTGCATGAACGCGTGTTTTCAAGACGTATCTGTGTACCAAGATAATGCTTTAGTAGGGAGTTTTTTTCTGGCACCAAGGACACACACAAGACATGGCTGATGAACTATAATGCACCACAAGAAATGGACGTAAAGATGTATGGATTGTGTACGAAGGAAGAGGACTTGCACAGTGCTTTGTAAATACCTTCACATTGCCAACTTAACCGCACAACTGATATGTTCATTACATTGATGCCATCAGTTGATGAAGATACTTTGCGCAATGCTGGTCGCTTCCAATGTAAAATTCAGAAAATCACAAACATCCCTACTGACACCACATGAGAAATGCTCATGTAAACAGGTGGTCACGTTCCTCTCTGGGTGTATTCGTGCGAGTGCAAGTGAGATTGTTGTATGTGTAGGTGTGTGTGGGTGTGTTTGGTTGAATGAGTGGTGAGTGGTGGCGCGTGGTCCTGTGCATATATCTCAGGTCACAAATCTGTTGAAGAAAAGCAACGTTGAGCTCGGAGAGTCCTTGGATGGGTGACCGTTCTTGGCAGCTAGACCCCTGAGAGTTTCTAGGACATCAGTCCTGCCCCACAACGAAATACATGTGATACATGTGGAGTCTCCTTAGGCAAGTGAATTTGTTCACAATTGCTTCTGTTCACCCATCAGAAAATGGGTACCCGGTGGGATAAGTCAAATGACTATATCCTTCTAGCACCTAACAGGCAGCTTGGATTATCCAGGATAATAATGTTGTGCTGTGTGTGTACACTTTGAGCATGTCCCTTTGTGATGTGGAGTGTTGCACGGTATAGGTATCGTTATTGTTATTATAATGACATATGGAGGGATGGTGTTGGGGAAGATGGAGTGTGGGTGGAAGGTGGTTTGTGAGATTAGGGATTTATGGTTGAAATATTGTGGCACTTTTGGGGAAACTGTTTTTGTCTCGGATTGCGACTTAAATTAACGGCATCAATTTCATTATTTACAAACTTCAAATTCAGGAATATGCCGTCTTAGTCTGATTTAGCAGAGTCTGTTTCCGGTTTGGCCTTGCGTTTCAAAGCAACATCAAGACACAATATTTAGCAATCGGATGAATGTATCAAGGGTTTCAAATACTATCTTAGTATGACATAACAGTGACAGATAAGCCAGATGTTATTCCTAGATGCATAGGTATGTGACAAAGTGTGTCTGGGATCAGGCTAAAACGGCCCCGTGACAAAACGGCCCCAAGTTTGCTTGGCTAAAACGGCCCCGACGTAAAACGGCCCCGATGTTGCTATCAACTATGTTGCTTGAAATGACTCCGTACAATTGCAAAAAAAAAAAGACGTGAAATATATTTCAGCATTTATATTGACATGTAACATATATTGAAACCAGAAAAAAAATCGTAATACACTCCTTGCAGCACACACAGCAGTACCACTAACGTGCTTGACGATGTATTTGTTTTCAATTTTAGTGTAATCTGAAGTTACATAATGGGTATTAAACAAAATAACAACACAGATTCATTAAAGTACTATTGCTAATATTTGTCAAACACCAGCTCTGTCAGGATTAACTCGACACAGAGCAACTGCTACTTCAATGTTGTTTTAATGACTGCATGTGTGACTTCATGGTATGGATGTGTTTTTAACAATTTGAATTCTGATTCTGAAATGTAATGTTTTATTTGTCAAACTTAAATTTTAGTGAATATTGTTAGATGATCTGTACAATATTCAGTTTGATTCACATGTATTATTGGCCTCATGGCCATTTAAACAGAATAAAATCATGATGAAAATGTCAAAGTTAATTAATTTAATAAGTAATTGAAAAATATGCGTTTTGATCTATCATTTATGACTAAGGACACACATTGAAATAAAACTGATTATTTTGGGGCCGTTTTGGCAAATATGGGGCCGTTTTTACTTGGGGCCGTTTAGTCACGGGGCCATTTCAGCCAAAGCATTTGGGGCCGTTATAGCCAATTTGGGGCCGTTTCGTCTTGGGGCCGTTCTGCTGTGGGGCCGTTTCAGCTATAACCCGAGTGTCTGATCAAGCAATCAAAGGCTGACATGATCTATCATCTTGTTTCTATAATCAGTGAACACGTATCTGACAGCGACCAACTTGCATTAAACAAGCTGGGGTTGAGGGCAGATGGGGCAGATGGGGGTGGGGAGAAGGCGGGGTTGTGGGATTGGGGATATATGGTTGAAATATTTTGGCACTTTGGGGGAAATCCGTTTTTGTCTCGGATTACGACTTAAATTACCAGCATCGATTTTCTTACTTAGAAACCTTATATTCAAGAATATGCGGTCTTTGTGTCTGCTGATCCAGAGCAGAATCTGTTTCTGGTTTGGCCAAACGTTTCAAGACAATATCAAGAAACAATGTTTAACAAATGGATGAAGGTGCCAAGTGTTTCAAATATTCTTTAAGTAAGTCTCAACGGTGACAGATAAGCCAGATGTTATTTCTAGATGCTTAAGTATGTGCTATAGCGTGTCTGATCAAGCAATCAAACGTTGACTTCAAGGAAAATCAGCTCATCAGCTCTCTATATTCAGTGAACACGTATCTGATAACGACCAACATGCATTAAACAAGCTCAACTTCTTTTTTATCTCTTGATATTTTTTAATATGTTTCTGTCTTTAAAGGACTCTTATCACTTTATTGAACTCAAGATAAAAGAGTAACTTGTTATCGTCCACGAGGCAAGTTTTGGTCGTCAGTCAACGTCAATAAAATTACACAAAACAACCATTATACGGTTTCTGTAAGAGGTCGTATGCTGTGTCTTCGTAAAAAGCTGGAAGGTTACCTTGACACTCAATTGCTGCATGGTGGTGACGTTAATACGTAATTGAGAATTCTAAAAAGGTCTACAAAGTTGTTAAATCAGACACTGCCATTTACATGCATACTCAGCGTCAGTATTGAGTGGTTACGCAGAATAACGAGATAAAACGTTGCATTTTCAACTTCCAAGAGTGCAGTTCAGATGCGTGATTAAACGAACCATCGTTTTGTAAATCGACTGTTGATTGTGATATATTCCACATGCTAAATCAATTATTACACTCAAGCCTGTGGTTTGGGAGGGAATTTTCAACACCCTCTATTTTTCTTAATAGTCGCTGTCCTTTTTCCTGTTTCATTTAAGTATCCAACCAATATGACATAGGTGTAAATAACACGTTCCACATCTGTTAATGTCAATGTCAACATACGCACATCTGTTGACGCTTGTTGTGTGTGTGTCCATGTCTGACATATATCAAGGTGATCCTTGAATAATGAGAATATATTTACGACGTGTTTATTGAAATGCTGCCACATTCTTGAAAATTGTGCTCACTGGTTGACGTAGGCAATACAATACAACGGATAGATGATGGCGAATTACGAAACAATGCATACTTAGCAAATTGAGCATCATTTCATGTAAACACATTGTAAATATATACGTCGTGGTAACTATATGCTGAAATTGTCAATCGGAGCTTATGTCGCTGAACTCACACTCCTCCTCTCTATTTTCTGGTTAAAGTGAGTAAGTGTGTGAGTATGGTTTTACGCCACTTTCATCAATATTCCAGCAATATCACGGCGGGGAACAACAGACATTGGCTTCACACATTGTAACCATTTGGGTAATCGAACCCAGGTGTTCAGCGTGACGAGCGGACGCTTTAACTTTTAGGCTACCCGCCACTCTGGTTTAAAGGATGGGTAGGAATCATTTTAATGACTTTATACGAGGGCTGATTGGGACTTTCTTAGTGTTTCCGGTCAATCCACTACTTGATTGTCTGGTTGGTTTGACAGGAGTACTCAAGGCAAACAATACCTCCATTCTTTAGACAAATTTTGTAAATTGGGGGCTACACACACACACACACACACACACACACACACACTTTACTCTTTTCGCTAACAAGGAATATCATCACTCATTTTCTGAGATTTATTCATATCATTTTCACAACTAATTTTCTCTTTACTTATGCTATCCGAAAGGTTTATAACCTGTTGTTCTCTTAAACACTTAATTCACTTATGTCATGACCACCTACGCTCATCCATTATGTAATAGTAGCCAAACAATGATTTAAATAAGTGGCGATTTTCAAAAATGCAATTTCCTAAAAAGAGTTTAGTTACTGTTTGTGATGAAATATTTTTACTTGTCAGTGTGTCACATTTGCACATTTGCCATTTTGTGTCGTTCACGAACATAACTGATGTCATATCGTATTTCTTAAGGCGCCCCAGCGACACATAATCAATTCACTATTTCTGTTTGCCTTCAAATGTTAAAATCTATTTATATTCTGTTGGTTTCTATTCTTGTCGATGTTCATCGTAATGGCATGTTCATGAAACTGGTAAGGTGTTCCTGTGTGGTGCTAGCAGATGACAAAGGCCCGTGTTATTTTATCTTGTCAAAGCATTCTCTAATAACAGTTCATCAACAGTGTGAGTTAATGACTGGATTCAGGGGTAAAATATGCTTTCCGTGAGAAAAGACTGAAATTGGACTCGGCTGAATAGGAAGTATTTGTGTGTGTGTGCAATGCGACATATTAAATTCGGTCTTTAAAAAACAAAATGCTTTTGGTTATCCTTTCCCCAGTGAGTTGTCCGAAAACATATACAATATTCCCAAGAATTCAGAATTACGATCCTTGATCGTGCAAAGCTCCGTTGATCGAGGGTTTGAAAGATTCCCAGTTTCCGACTCTCTCTGTCGAAACTACCCATGCTAAACGGATACTCGTTTGCGATCTGGCGTTCATGCCCTGGCATAAGGGAAATATGGATTAAAACATTAAACTCTTCTCACTCACACACTCACACCATCAAATGATAATCAACAAAATGGCGATGATATATACTGGACAAAATAAGTTAGGGATATTGGTATTTTTATGATTGATATTTTATCAATGTGTCAATGAATAAATACATCATTATTCATAATTTCAAAATTAACATATATCCCTAACTATTTTTGTCCAGTATATGTTCACAGACTGTCTTACCAAACGTCTTAGCGTTGTAGGTCTAGATCTTGGTGTTGACAGCAATTATAATTGATGATGAGTCCCTCATATTATATGATGGTGAGATTACTTTTCATTCATTCATAAATAAGGGCTTGAAAACAACGTGACTAATTTTAAAGATTTTATGTACCTATGAATACCTTATGACAGTTCTGATTTACGCTGAAACTTGTTATCGAACATAAAACATTTATTCAAAGTCGCTTTAAAACTAAACTCACTCAATTATTCCAAGAAATTGTCGTAATATGCTTGATCTTCGCCAACTCCGAGGCCCTCATCCGATTAAAAGCCAATCGGCTACAAGAAACCTTCCTTCAACTCAGAATCGATGTCTTGTGCTCAGTCAAGTTGAAGTATGTGTACAAGTGATTGGACAATTCGAGGATGTGAAAAGGAAACAACAAATCACTTCAGTGGTCGTGATTTGTTTGTCCTTTGTCAAGTACCATCAGAGAGTGAAATCTACATCACCAACCCTCTCCAACTTCTTGAATCGTCA